CAGAGAACCGTAGCGACAGGACCGCACTCGATGATAGCTGGCGCCAAACCATGCCATGCGCCCTCCCGCACGGCCTTTTACTTCCGTTTGGAAGCGATTCTGTTCAGATGACGTAAAATGTACATAATCGGAATGGAAACGGAAGACAAAACTGATGAAGTACACGTACATCATCGGAACGGGAGAGGGTTAGATGAGCACTTGGTAGGGTGCGCTTTATTCATCCTCTGTTGGGAGACACATTGAGCCATCTGTGGAATGGCCACGTAACCCTCTTGAGTGCCATGCCGACCTTAATAGGCGCTCGCTAACAGAATTTGCTGTTAAAACACACAAGGCCAGATGCGGGGCGGGAGGGGGGGTTATGTCTCGCTTTGTCTGTACGCATACACAGGCTACACGAGAGACGAGTGTTTATCTGCGGGATGACACAGGTGTGCCATCGGAAAAATCAAGTACCCATTAAGCACGCGAGCTGTGTGTGTGTGGGGGGGGTACCCACAAGGGCGTGGGTTGTGTAACGCGCGGCACAGCTGTGCCTGTAACGCGAGAGCCTTAATTCTCGCCCTAATATTTCGTGTTCTCCTCTTTTGGAAAGAAAATATTTGACTCCCCGTCGGTGTTGGTTGTCGCAGCCGGGCTTTTCACGCCTTTATTGTACGGAGTGCTCTTGTATTTAAAAAAATAAATAAAGGAGTTGGCGAAACATCCGAATGCTGGCCCCACCTAAACAAATCTTGAGACAAAGTACAGTGTAACTTTTCCAACTTGCTATTGTAATCCCGGGCCTGCATCTCTCCACGCTCCTTTGCACGCTTTTAAGCTTTTGTGTTCAGTCCTCCTCTTCGTCATTGTCCGCACGTTTCTGATCCGTGCGTCGTTACGTTGACGGACGGAAAAAGGCAGCGCGAGGATCGTGGATCGTACGCACGCTGAAGACGGAATATTCACCGTTAAGTAAAGTGGCTTATAGGACTCGTCACTCGAAGGGATGACGGCCCTGGTGGTCATGGCTTACGACAGAGTGGCAGCCAGGGGAGAGCAAACGCCTGGGAGGACGTCTCCCGCGGATGAGATGGAGCGACAAGATGAGCTCGTTGACGTCCCAGAGCCCCTTATAGTTACGTCGCAGACCGTGAGAGATGGCTCCGGGAGGCCATCCTTCCCTCGGTGGATTGATCAGAGCTGATAATGAACAAGATAAATGATCTCAAACATATTTACATCTCGCTTAGAGTACATGTGCTCGGCAAGGGTAAAAAAAAATCGAAAACCCCCAGTAAAAACACCGCTTTGTTTCTCTGGAGACAATGCAGATACCATCAGGTGATCACAACAAATGATTTGTCACTTTCCCTTCAAAGGCCTGTAAAACTTTATGGTGGCTGAAGGAGAGGCGCGCGCACACACACACGTCCAGGCAGACGTGTCTCCTCCTCCGCCGCTACCACCACCACCGTAAAACCAGTGCCCTAACTGGCCGGTGGGGGCCGGCCAAATTGCGTGGGACTGGCAGGCAGATGGCTCAGTGAGATGAGATGGCTCGGGCTGCACCCCCAGCACCTGATTTATTACTCCGTTATCCTGAGATCTCTTCCCCGGCTGTTAGGAGGAATTTGATGGGAAAGGCGAGAATGTGCAGACTGTGTGCGCGCGCGCGTAGGGAAGGGGAAGATAGTAAAGCGGAGTAGTTGTGTGTGCGCTGGCATACATGGGAAGCGGTGGCGTAGCTATTCGCGCGCTGCGCTATGAACCCGGCAACTCTCAGAGTTCAATTCCTGCTCACGGTCAACACCAGTGACGATTATCTAAACCGGTCCTGGGCCTCCCCCTAGGTCCACTCGGCCTCAAATGAGTACCTGTTGCGATGCGTAAACGATGTCACTGGGTTTACGAAGGCAGCCGGGCGTGGTGCTGGCTACACCCACCCCTTTGTGTGCTGTGCCGGCCTTCATAGGTGCTCGCTAACAACACTTGCCCCAACAGTCTGGTGAGGCTATACGGGGGATCTCTGCCTTTGTTTGCTGGTGTGTATTCGTGCTGATTGCGATACCACATCTCTGCCTTGCCGTTTTATTACACCTCGGCAGAATAATGCGCTCGTCCGTATTTCTAGATACGTCGGTGGGACCAGTACATTTAGAGTATTTGGCTGCTATAAATGTCCACGCGAGGATAAGCCACTATGTAGAGCTATCATTTGTGACTGGGTCGCTCCTAAAAAAGAAGCTATATAGCTCAGTGGGCCTTACCTGTTAACATTTTAAATGTTCTTATCTTTCCTATATTTTGGACTGCTATGGTGTTTTTGTATTGATTGTTGTAACGTTCTGACCCACCTCTACTGGACATCTGTGAAAAAGAGCTTAATAGGTCATTGGATTCTGCCTCCAGTGTAATAAATATTCTGACTTGTTTGTACCACCTGAGATGGCACCAGTCCAGTTTGTACCATCAACTTCAAATTACCACTCGGTGAATTATTGTAGTCACTTTATTTAATAAGTATAAATCTGCAGAATACACTTTTGTATATTCAGCACAAACTCAAACTGGTATCCTGTTAGTAATCGCTGCGATCTGCCGTGCTTACCGATTGCTGCTCCGGCCCGTGGACTAGGAGCAGAATGACGAAGGGCCTTCAGCTTGACTTTTTTTCCAAATACGCGAGGAGTTTCCTGGTAAAAGGTCCGGCCGTGTTTTTGATCTTCGCGCACACACACGGCCGAGCACAGGCGGCGAGATAGGGTTACGTAATGCGAAGTGCCGTTTATTAAGTAATGACGTGCGATGGCTCGGGCGGCTTCAACAAAAAAATATATTCGTCGGGTGTTTATAGATGCTTAGTCGGCTGTAAAAACAAATTAGCCACAAAGTAATTTAGCAGCAGCTCTCTCGCCTTGCCTTATAAGGCCGCGTCTTTTTGAAGCCCCGTCGGCGGAGGTTTTCGGAAAAGTCTGCAGTTTAAAAAACAAGTGGAATTGAGCGAGCGTGTACTTGGGACCTAAATCCCCCGCAGAAAGAAAAGGGTCTTATATTTTCTTTATTTTCCTCGGCGGCGTCTTCTCATGCGGGCCTTTGTACCTCCAGATGTTTAGTTTTAGCATTGGAAGTTTGGCAGGGCGAGGAAATTTCACGCTTAACTTCGCCAAGCAAACGGGGCCGGCAAACAGAGTGCTGCTTTGTGAGCTCCACGGTGGCGGCGGTGGCAGTGGTGGCGGTGGTGGCCGGAGGAGAGAGAGAGAGGAGGCACTTGCGGAAAGCAGCAGCTGATTGACATCGCTTGCCCCAACGTAAACAATGGCGTTTATTTGCAGGCCCCCCACCCCGCTCCTCCAAACTCACCACCCTGCCCCCACCTCATACCACACCCCACCCCTGCATGCTGCTTACAAAACTGATCTTTCTTCTAAAAAAAAACGTCGTAATAAACCTTGAGCAAAACGGAAAGACAACTTCACAAATCTGGCTATCGCCTGATGAAGCTGGTTGTTGTTGTAATCGCCAGCGGAACGTGTTGTGGGTTTACTCTCCAAAGCACCGGTGTGCTGATCTAGTAACTAATTGGCACGTTTTGTTTACGTGACAAACCTTACTAATTGGCTGTCTGGTGGTGGTGGGTTTAATAACACATTTATATTTACGTGATCTCACCCAAAAGAACCCCTTTATAATGGATATTATTGGTCGCAAAAAAATAACCTCAACGACACTTTCATTTCGTAAGTAACGCTGTGTGGCGTGGCCTTCAAAGGAAAAGTCGATGATCGGTGACGATGCTCGCAGTGGGCCTTCTTCACAGCACATGGATGGAGATGTCAGAGAGTGGTAATGAGCGGGTAATGAGAGTTGGAGATTCACAATGGGGCCTGATGAATTTGTTTCCTAACGACCAGTTTTTAAATTGGAATACGAATAGTTGTGTGTATGTTGAACTTCTTTCGCACCATACGTAGCCAATCGTGCTAATGGGGAGAAACGGACAAATACTTGGAAAATCAAAGCATATGACTAAATTAACTCAATTGAAGGGAAAAAAATATATTTAAAAAAATGTGTTCCTAAGTCACTTGGTTATTCAAAAGTGTATATAAGCAGAACTCCTCTTTGTGTCTTAGAATATAAATATAGACCGATGTTCCCTACAGCAGCACTTGTTTAAGCGAGTAAATTCATGACCAGTTTCATCCTTTTGGGTCTCATCAGCAGCAGAGCCAGGCTTGTCAAACAAGTTACCCGATGCTATTTATTGGCGCGGAATTATTCGCTTTGGTTGTGCATTTTGTCCAGTTGTGAAATGGTGAGATTGCGACGTTTGGATTACGTGTGAGTCTCTTGCTGTTTACTTTGGGCCTGTTGGGGGAGGATTTTTTTATGTACACTTCGGGCTCTTTTTATAATATAATTTGTGTGTTTTGGTTGGCGTAAAACTTGTCCATTCCTTTTCAAATGCCGTGCGAGCAGAGGAGAAAAAAAGATTGAGTGGCTTTTTATTTTTCTTAATTTGGGCATGGCACGTAAACTATAGATAATCGCTTTTAAAATGACACCCTATATGTATGAGTAGGGTGATTTAGAAAGTTTGGCTGAGATTGGCTAATTTGTGGACCTTGCCCTATCAGGCCGGACAGAATGAATGAAATAACAGTGTTGTATAAAATAATATATATGTAAAAACTGTTGTATGAAATAATATATATGTAAAAACTGTTGTATAAAATAATATATATGTAAAAACTGTTGTATAAAATAATATAAATGTAAAAACTGCCCCCATAGGTGGCAGATCACGCAAGTGCTGCAGCGGTCATTATTTCTGTGCACGCTATTTTCAGCCTTTGCTCCATTTACTCTTGTCAGTTTGTGATCACGAGTACATAACTCGCCACTTGTGACTTTACGTTCACTCTTTCTACGGCCGTTAGTCATTTCATCGTGAGACCGTAACCCCATTTTTTAAAAACCCAGCTCTGTTTTCCACCCCCCCCCCCTTTCGCCAGGCTCCACAGCACCACCACCACCGCTGCTCCTCTTCGCCAACCGTCGTGACGTTCGACTTGTGGCGACCACACGCCCAGACGGCGCTGCGGGTCCCCCCGCGATTGGCGGTGGTGGCGGCGGCGGCAGCAGCAGCGGTGTCGGCGCCAGCGTTGCCAACTCCACGGTGGTGGTGGTGGGTGGCCTGGAAGACGCCGTTGCCGTGGACTTCCTGTTTGGAGAGTCCGCTGTCTATTGGACGGACCTGGGCGAGGAGGCCATCAAGCGAGCGTCCATCGTCAATGGGACGGCATGGGGGGGAGCGGCGGGCGCGCCGCCGTCGGCGGGGGCCGGCGCGTGGCCGCAAGTGACGATCGTGGCGACGGGGCTGGTGTCGCCGGATGGGCTGGCGTGCGACTGGCTGGGGCGCAAGCTCTACTGGACCGACTCGGAGACGAACCGCGTGGAGCTGGCCGAGCTGGATGGCTCGCACCGCAAGGTGCTTGTGTGGCAGGACCTGGACCAGCCGCGCGCCATCGCGCTGCACCCGGCACAGGGGTGAGTTTGAGTGAGCGTCTGTGCGTCCGTGCGTTCGCGCCGCCTGGCCTGGTGCTAGCGCCGTGGTGATGTGACCGCTGGGGGCCATGGGTGGCGAGATGTGCAGGGGAAAACTGGAGGACCCGGAGAAAAATGCACACGACCACGGGGAGAGAGAGCGCGGACACGCAGACTTCAAATATACAGCAGGCGTCAGGGTCGGAATCAAACCCAAGACCTTCTGCATGCCAGGCGAGGTAGTTAACATCTTGCTACCGTGGCCTCGCCCACAAATCCTTTATGAATCATAACATTTCGTTACGAAACCCGATGGGTTAGGTTCCTCACCGCACTTTTGCGGAGCAAGCTCAGAATCCCGTGGTGGTGTCGGGGCCATTGTGCCGTCACGTCGGGTAATGGCCCGATTGCTTGGCAGCTTCAAAATAATAATAATTATCACGCGGGCTGTTTCACAGTGAGGCCCGCACCAGAATCAGAATCTTTGTTTAGACTGGGAGAATCTGATGAGCCTATAGAGCTCTTTTTCCACAGACGTCCATTTGAGTCGGAAAGTTACAACGACAAACGATACACACTGAGCATTGAAAAGCTAAGCAAGTCAAAGCAAAAATAAAGTCAATAAGCGCCGCACTCTTGCCCAGAAGCAACGTGGGGTCACATATTTATTCTCGTTTTTCTCCTCCCGTGAATTTTGAACCAGTTAAGCTTCCTCCATTTGGTACTATTCTCAAAATTGCATATACTGCCTTCTCCTACGGTACAATGAGTACGTATGGTACGAGAACACATCTATATACACACACACACACATGGGACATATGGACCAGATATTTTCAGGAACAGGATGTCCATTGTAGAAAATGGGACACTTAACACATGTGGACTTTGGTAATGTACCACAGTTATTTAAAACGCATAAGAAATGACTTATTCGACCCTTAGAAGTGTAGATAGAAGATTGGCAATTAACTTTATTTAAATTGTCATTAGAATATTAGCGAGCGCATGCACGCCAACGAAATGGAGCAGCTTATTAATTCACAGTTGGTGACTTGTGGATGCCTCTAACCAGCAGTTGGTTGACCATGGCAGATGTTAGCTACGGCCGATTGAATCGCAGCTCCGTGTCCCAACGATGCAGAAAAGCAAGTGCAGCCCCCGGCCAGTTTTAGCACGGAGACGTGCGACGTCGGCTTTTTTTACTTCATCGAGCGCAAGTGGTCGGTGAACAAAACAACGAGAAGAGCCATTTTTTTAGAATTCGGAAAAAAAAGCCTCTATTTCAAGAGCCTGAATGCAACGTGAATTCGAGAGGGTGGTGGTCCTTGATAAATAACTATCACGAAGCCGTCCTTAAAGAGCCGCATGTGGATCCGGAGCCGCAGGTTGCTGACCTCTGCCCATGGTAAACTGGAACTTGCGTGGTAAACTGGGACTTCCATGGTCAGGAGTCGGCAACCAAAATACCAAGAAAAGCCATTTTTTTTTCGAATTTCTAGAGCCCGCACTGCAGTTCCTTAAAGAGCCTCGCGTGGCTTCGGAGCCACAGGCTGCCCGACCCCCTCATCTGGCGCAAGTGCCCACGACCAAATCGGCTAGGACGCGCCCGCTCCCTCCCGTCAGATCTCGGAGAGCCAAGCCCTCGCTTTGGATACTCGGGTGGCAAGAGGCAGCCCTGCTAATACGCCGGTGTTGCCGCCCGCTCGGGTTTCTCCCCACCACCCTGCTGCTGCAGACACAATGGTCGCAAAGGTGATCGTCTGCCCCCGGGGGCCCACGCGTCGTAAAACGCGACGGAGCCAGCTGTGTCTGTGTGCGCGCGTCGCCCGTCGGTAGTGGTGGTGGTGGTGGCGGCGGCGCCTTCGAGACGCGGAGACGTGAAATTCCTGAGCTGCCCGACACCGGAAAGGAAAGCCCTCTCCCCCCACTCCCCCCCCCCACCACAACCCCCCCCCCCCCCCCACTTCTTAGCCGAGGAGGCATTCATTTGTATGGATTAGTGTTTTCCTGCAAGTTCAAGTCACTTATCTCCTCCCCTCTTTTACCCTTCCCCGCTGTTTTTCACGGCTCGAGGTGCCCCCGGGCTGGAAGCACCGTTGTGTTGTTGCCTGCGGGGGGCGGGGGGGGGGGAGCTGTTAAGCCGCCGTGACGGTGGTGGCGGTGGCGCTCGCTCGGTGCAAATGAAACGGGGACTGTAGACAAGTACACCAGATACAAGAAGTGTGTGTGCGGGAGGTTTTTCAATTTCCACGTTTCTCTTCGCGGCGGAGGCTCACGCTGTTTTAATGTAAGAGGCGGCGTGTGAAGGTGCTTAATCCAGCCGTGACTTCTCCCCCGCCCCGACCACTGCCTCCCCTCCTCCGGTGCGTTCGAGAGCGTTTGACAACATCCCGCTGATTGGAGGCACGCGGAGGCCCTCCCCCCCTCCCCAGCAGTCCCATCCATCGCTAAAAATGAATGGACGCTTTCCCCTGTGTTGTGTTACGTTACGAAGCGGTGGCAATAATAGTCGTCGTCGCCGTCGTCCTCGTCGGCTAATGTTTTGCGTAAATTATTGAGCGTCTCGAATTGTTGCGCGATAGCTGCCACACGAAGCCACGTGCACGCTTCCACTGGAATGGAACGGCCACGTTGAGAGGTCGCACGGGGGAAAAAGTACCTAACTTGTTTTACATCACGAGTCTGACGAGGCGAGAGATGCCTGTCACCGTGGTCACATCATCAGCAGCAGCAGCCCTGGGTCATTCCACTGCTGGATGAAGGCCTCATCCGGGCCGGCGTTTTCACCCATAATCCTGCGGCGGCGTAATAATCTTGCGTTGTCGGATGGTGATAATATTTAAATTTTAAATAGTAATAATGATAGCGAACGCCGTGCGTACGCGTGCAGCCCCTTTCCCGTGCCCGCACACGTCACGGGTTGTCATTTGAGCGTACTTCGCCACGCTGGTCAGTTTGCAAATTACATTTCGTGAGTGTTGGGCTTCGTGTGAGAGGGGACCCGGGTACCCGGAGAAAACACATTGTGCACGCGAGGGTGTGACACTCAAACCTCCGTACAGATGGATCATATTCACTGCTGTACTGCTACCACCTCCGGGACCACCTTACCACCTGGTAACCTATCCATCCGCCTTATGAGGTTTGGCACGATCACGGTCAGATGCGTTAAGGATGGTGGTCATAAACGTGCTGTGTAATTGTATACACGTGTTTTTGGTCACGGCAACATTTGACATTCCTTCGTAAGAGTTAACTATTGCTCCAATTAATTGCTGTAGGGCCATCACGTGGTTACTTAAAGGCTGTCAATGTACATTAAGAGTCAACCATAACAGTCCCTGCTCTCACGCGAGCGACTTGTGATGATGAAAAACGGTAGCGCAGCATTCGTGTCACGCTAGTGTTTCTCAACACCGGCCCTCGCGAGCCCCCCCTCTCCACCCCCGAATCAGGTGCATGCAGTGTGCAGTAGCCTAATTTCCATATGAATATAAAGGATTGGTGCGTACCACAAGGCGGATTCAGGGACTGTCTTACCACTACGACTGGAGTTTTCTTAGAGGAGAACCGCAAGCGTGCGCACACGCGCGGCTGGCTCGTAACTGGTACAACCGTGTACGTTTTCTCAGTTGTGCCGCATTGGTGTCCGATGCCTTTTTTTCTTCCTGGACCGCGTCCGCGTGGCGTTGGAAGAGGCTCTCGTGGTGGACGCTACTGAGCAGTTTTGGAGGCCGTCGCCCTCCAACCACAACGGAGGGCAGAGGAGCGACACTCGCAACAATGAGCGGAGCGCCGGGCAGCTAAAATGCAGCGAGTTGGCACATTGGAGGGGGCAGCTGATGCATCACTCCTCCTCAGGAGGTGGCGGGGGATTGAGACGCTGGCGGGGATGAGGCCACCGGTTGAGAGAGAGGCTGATCGAGATGCGGGTGGAACGTTTTCGCGGGAACGCGCGGACTTCTGGTGACGCGTTTGTGTGAACACGCGGGAGTCGGTGAGACGTCTCCGTGTGGGACCCCCCCCCCACCCCCCTGCGCTCACGTTGCCCCGCTAATGAAGCAGCCGTAATGAAGTTTGGAAACTGAAGGGTGGGGGTGGCACGGGGGGGGGGGGGTTGGAGGAGGAGGTGGTGGGGCGTTGTTTTTTACGGGTTTTAGTTTGTTTGTTTGTCATCACGTTGAGCACCCGTAGTTCCTTTGCCTCGGATTGTCGTTAATGTCACTAGAACAGAGTTGGGTGTTATTTTATGGGCCCCGCTTATCGTATCGATTTTATTTATTACGCAAAGTATTATTATCCGACCGGTGGTGGTGGTGACGTTCGCTTGTGGCTTTCGACTTTGGATGGGGGGGGGGGCGTAGGGCTCTGGGTTGGTAAACACGGTGAAAGATTAACCATCCAGCAAACCGCGCCAGCGTGCCCCCCCTCCCGCCCACCCCCCAAACCAATACCTCCACCGGCTCCCCAATGCCAGCTACTTACACTTTACGTGCTCTTCCTTCGGCCCCCTCTTGTTGTTTGCCACCCCCTGCCGCTCCACCCCAACCCGTATTCCTGGCAAGCCGCGATGCGTTAACGCACACACACGCACAAACACGTACACACGTACACACGCACACACACCTGCGCCCTGTTTGTCTTCTGCTAACCGTTTTTTCTCGTGTGTGCTGCGCGGGGTGCGACGCGCTCCTCCGCCGTGGACGTGAATTAACATCGGGGCCGAAAGGATTTCTCACCTCTGTCTCTAAAAGGGGATGTTTGAAAAATAATGTTTGTGCTGAATTTGGGGTGGAAAGGGGGAGTGGGCGGGGGAAGTGGAGCGGTTGGTGGTGGGGTTTTGGCGGCGTTGTGTTTGCATTCACTTTGACATGGCCACTGTTTTGAAAAACACCGTGGCGCTTTAAGAAGAGAGCCTTTTGTTGCAGGTACGAGAGTCGGAGACAAGATGACGACGGTGCGGTTTTCTAAAGAGGCCCCCCCCCCCTCTTTGTAGTCTT